CGAAGATCCAAAATTCTGGACAGCAACACTTGATTTCTAAACCCAACCAACCTGAAATAAACCTGCCCAACACATCCTAACTCCAAATGAGAAAATAAGGGACAACAACCACAATTATACAATGACAGAATCTATGGAACCTAAGTTCGGATACTATAATCAAATGGGAAAAGACCGGGGTCGCTATAACTCCTCATGCTCAGCACACTTTTTGTGGGATCATGTTCTACTAGTGTGGATTTTTAGGAGTGGTTGGCCCATAAAGTAAGGACGAAGCTTTGACTAAGTGTGGCCCACAGGGCTACACGTTCTAGACCTAGCTTTCTGGGCTAGGTCCCATGGACCTTTAGACCTGGTCCTCTGGTCCTAGACCTGCATCTCTGGACCTAGACCTCTGGTCCTGGTCCCGGTTCCTTGGTCTTCTCTAGTCCTGGACCTTTGGATCTGGTCTTTTAGTCCTGAAACTGCATGTCTGGACCTAGACCTGGACTTGGACCCACATATTTGGACTTCGACCTCTGGTCCTAGTACCCTAGTCTTTTATAGTCCTGGATCTCTAGATCTGGTCCTTTAGTCCTGAATCTGTTTGTCTGGACCTAGACCTCTGGTCTTATGGACCTGTTATTCTGCTCTTCAGAGTGTATCTGCTCGATTTAATGCTCCTATGTGCAAATCTTGCTCGGTGTCAACACATTTTCTGCTCGAAATGAAATTCTTTATTTTTGCCTTCCATAATTGCCCTCAAACTCTGACTTCTCTAAGCCTAGTTGTAGGGGAAAGTTGGAGTTCATCCAAGGTATAGAACTATCCATAGTAGAGCGGAAAAATTCAGCTATTGATTAACAGACTTTCTTATACTTAAGCAATTTAAGTGACAGTATATAACTACAATCCAAGCTGGATTGTCTAACTTTCGTGTACTTAAGGAATTGCTAGAAATTGTGGCTAAATGAAATAACATAACTACAATCCAAGTTGGATTGTCTAACTTTCTTGTACTTTAGGGAATTGCTAGAATTGCACCTAAGTGAAAGAACAATGACTACAATTCGAGCTAGATTGTCGAACTTTCTTGTACTTAGGGAACTGCTAGAAATTGCACCTAAGTGAAAGATCATAACTACAATCCAAGCTGGAATGTCCAACTTTCTTGTACTTAGGGAATTGTTGGAAATTACCCCTAAGTGAAAGAACATAACTACAGTTTGAATTGGATTGTCCAACTTTCTTCTACTTAGGAAATTGCTAAAAATTGTGCCTAAGTGAAAGAACATGACTATAATCCAAGTTGGATTGTCTAACTTTCATGTACTTAGGGAACTGTTGAAAATTAAGCCTAAGTGAAATAACATCACAACAATCTGAGCTGGATTGTCTAAATTTCTTGTGCTTAGAGAATTGCTGGAAATTGCGCCTAAGTGAAAGAATATAGCTACAATCTGAGTTGAATTGTCCAGCTTTTTTGTACTCAAGGAATTGTTAGAAATTGCGCCGAAGTGAAAGAACATAACTATAATCCGAGCTAGATTCTCTAACTTTCTTGTACTTAGGGAATTGCTGGAAATTATGCCTAAGTGAAAGAATATGACTACAATCTAAGCTGGATTGTCAAACTTTCTTATACTTTGGGAATTGCTAGAAATTGCACCTAAGTGAAAAAACATAACTACAATCCGAGCTAGATTGTCTAACTTTCTTGTAGTTCGAAATTGCTTCTAAGTGAAAGAACATGACTACAATTCGAGCAAAATTGTCTAACTTTCTTGTACTTGGGGAATTGCTAGAAGTTGCGCCTAAGTGAAAGAACATAACTACAATATGAGCTGGATTGTCCAACTTTCTTATGCTTAGGGAATTGTTGGAAATTGTGTCCAAATGAAAGAACGTAACTACAATTCAAGCTGGATTGTCTAACTTTCATCCATTTGAACCAATAATTGTTCATAAATTTTCTGAGCTTCCTGTACTGGTCAATCCTAATTAATAGATTAGTTACTCATCTTGTTGGTTTCTTAGAAAGGGACTGCCATAACTTATCTTCTAGTGACAAGACATGCTTAAATGGTCTCCTAGTAGAGTAGAGAGTATTGCATGAGGCTTTGATAAATATGTTTTTGAAAGGGTGAGCGAAGCGTTCACCTCCTTAGCACGCTTGACGTTGGTCACAAAGCACGTCACATAACTCTCTGACAGTTATTGCCAACAGTCAATAAACCTTTCATAAAACTTCTCAAACCATTGCCTGGTTACTTTCCTTAGGCTGGATGGGAATACCTTGCATGGAAGTAGTGACGACGATGGTCCAAGGGATCTGATCGACCATTGTAGAGCTCAAACTATGGGATGTTAAAATTTTTTGGAGGCTCCATGTGGTTAATCCTCCTATTGAAAGGAGAAGTGATCAGAGCAAGCCTTAGTTCTATTGTCCATACCACAATTCCTTCAAATGCTCTTTAGACAGGTGCTGAACTCCACTGTTCTATTTGGGTGGGTGCTTGAGTGTGCAGTTTTATTTGGACAGTTGTTGAAGCGCGTCATTCTGCTGGGATAGGTGCATAAGTAGGATGTTCTGCTAGGACGAATGTTGGAGCACATTGTTATGCTCGGATAGGTATGGAAGTCGAATGTCATGCTCGAATAGGTACAGAAACAAGATGTTCTACTCGGATAGGTACATGGGCAGGATGTTCTACTCGAACTGGTGCAGGAGCACACTATTTTGCTCGGATTGGTGCAGAAGCACGCTATTATGCTCAAATTGGTGTAGGAGTAGGATGTTCTGCTTGAATTGGTCTTGAAGCGGGGTGTTTTGTTCGGAGAGGTACAAGAGCAAGATGTTTTGCTCGGATACTGCTGGATCTAAATTGATTAATGCTACTTTTTTTGAGCTAATTCTGCTTGCTTGATCTGAGTTGATTTTGGTTGCTCAGTCGGAGCTGATTTCTAGTCCTGAGCTTCCTTAAGGAATTTTTCTAGGGCGACGTGTTGCCTCATAATCTGTGATTGAATTTGACTTTGCTTCAAAGTTCTTACCTACTCGGACAATTCTTTGAGTTGTTTTTCCATTGTATTGATGACTTTGTTTCTCTAAACTAACTCATGTAGCAAGATGTTGCATTCTGCTTGGTTTTTCATGGGCAAGTCGTGAACTTCATGCTTATGTTGTTCACGTGGAGCTTCAATGTCTAACGGGCACCACTGTTGAACCTTAGAGCGTAAAACATTATGTTCTTCATCAGTTGGTAGAATGACATTTCCTGGCGCCATTGATGATTGAAAAATGAATGAACTTAAAGTAGCAAAAATTAGAAAATTGTTTTCATTTCAAGTTTCCCATAGACAATGCCAAATTATGGTGGCAAAAAATTGAAGGCATGAACACAGTTGAACCTCATCTTAAACACTTAAACAAATATAAAGAACTCGACTGATGGGAAACAAGTGGATTCTCTGATGCTTAATTTAGTAAATTTGAAAGTTATGGAATAAGAAAATTTAAGAATACGAGCAATCCAAACTGGTGTTAATTAATTGTATTTTCCCCCCCTCACTTGGTGTATATAGCCTTTAAAATGACTGTTGGAATTGGTTCCACTTCCTTTGCCACTCCTCACGTTTGGCTAACTTTTTGTTGGATCATGTTCTACTAGTGCAGATCTCTAAGAGTAATTAGCCCATAAAGTAAGGACCAAGCTTTGCTCAAGTCTGCCCCTTAGAGCTATGCCTTTTGGACTTGGTTTTCTGGGCTTGGTCCCTTGGACCTCTAGACCTAGTCCTCTGGTCCTGGATCCGTATGTCTGGACGTGGACCTCTAGTCCTGGTCCCCTAGTCATCTCTGGTCTTGGACCTCTGGATCTGGTCCTCTAGTCCTAAACCTACATGTTTGTACTTGGACCTCTGGTCTTCTCTGATCCTAGACCTTTGAATCTAGTCCTCTGGTCCTAGACCTTTGAATTTGGTCCTTTAGTCTTGAACCTGCATGTCTGGACTTGGATCTCTAGTCCTGGTCCCATGGTCTTATGGACCTGCTAATTTGCTCATCAAAGCGTCTCTACTCAGTTTAATTATACTATGTGTAAATCCTGCTCAGATTCTGCACATTTTCTGCTCGAAATGAAACTCTTTTTTTTTGCCTCTCACAATAATTAATGAATATTATAAGATATAATATATAAAATAAATTAGCAAAAATTAATAATAAGAATAATTTTTAATGTTTTAATTTTATTATAAAGAAAAAAAAATAAACTATATATATATATATATTATATACATATAAATACATCTAATAAATATATTAGGGACGGGGAAAGCAAAACTCGTACCCACCCCACTTTTTCATCGGAGTAGGGAAAACCCATGTAGAGCGAGGCATGATATGTAGCGGGAGCAAAGCACACTACAACAAAATACACATTTGGCGACTAAAAAAAAATTAGTCGCCAAAAGTTGGAGAATTGGCGACTAATAATTTTTTTAGTCGGCAAAAGTAACATATTTAGCTACTAATTTTTTTTAGTCGGCGTATATTGATTATTGGCGACTTAAAAAAAATTTAGTCGCTAAAAATTCCAGAATTGGCGACAAAAAAATAAATTTAGTCGCCGTATATTGCGTTTTGGCTACTAAAAGCATTTAGTCGCCGAATGAAAAGTTTGGTCGCCAAAAACTTAGTTTCAGCAACAAAAAAAATTTTTAGCCACCGTATACTGAGTTTTTGGGTACTAAATTATTTCATCGCCGAAAGGAAAAATAAAAAATTATTATTTATTTTTGGCGACCAAAAGTTTGGTCACCAAAACCTTATTTTCAGCGACCAAAAGCTATTTTAGTCGCCAAAAACCAAAAATTTTTGGAGCCAAACATTTTAAATTTTGGAGGGATTTTATAAAAGGAATTGACGACTAAAAATATTGTCGGTAATGGTCTACTATATATAGATATAGATATATATATTTGCTTCCAGACAACAGACCAACGCCTCTGTCTCTCTCTTTCTTCAGCGTTTCTCTCTACCTCTCCCTCTCCCTCTTCCTCTGCCTCTCCCTCTCCGCTGCTCTTCTCCCCTCCCTCTTTCACCGCCGCTCCACCAGCCGTGCCTCCGCCGCTCCTCCTTGCTGTCGCCGACAACTAGAGCACCGATTGCGAGCTCTCTGTGTGTGTGCAGTTCGCATATTGACCCAAAATCGTTTCTTGTATATAATCCTGAAGATGAGTGTAGATCTGGTCGCCTTGAATACCCATGGGAATCTTGATGAGCAGATTGCACAGCTCATGCAGTGCAAACCCTTGTCCGAGCCTGAGGTACCTCTCTCTCTCTCTCTCTCTCTCTCTCAAAGTCTCCATTTTGAAAGCTCTCTCTTTCTTTCCACTTTCCAGGAAAATTTCCAGAATCATCCTCACACCCCTCACTGCTTCTTCCTCTTGTAGTCTTCTTTGTGTGTGTATATATATATATCCATATATATAAATCAAAACCCATTAATATCTAATCTACTTTTGTAGTTGTGGTGTTTTCAGTACCATTTGATGCCACTGGCAGAGTATCAACAGCTGAGTCACAATTTGAATGAATGCATGATATGCACAGTACCAACATTGAAGAAGGTGGTTGATCTCCTTCTGGAATTGGACAAGCTTCTCTTCAGTAAGTCCTCTTCTGCTTTGATCTTTTTTTTGAATGCAACAATCAGTTCTTATTTATGTAGAGTTGAAATTGGGAAAACTTTTAGGTTAATATTAGTGGTGTGTTTAATTTGATCACTAAGCTATAGTGTTGTTTTTGCTACTTTTTTGCATTTATTTTAGGCACAGATCAAGTGAATATGTGAACATAATTGAGTTATGTAGCAAGGTTACAATATTGGAGAATTTGCATATGTATGGGTGATGCTTAAGTATGTTGTGATTGAGTAATTCCGAAAGAAGAGTTGACCTGAACCGATCCACTTTCTAAAAATTTTGCACATCCAATGACCAGCCCAACTTATTTGCTTTATGAAAATTTTGGTGCAACCATCTCATTATCTTTCAATATTTATTTATAGGAAATTATATATATTCATGGTTGTATTTGCTTTAGAATGCTCCCCCTATTTGGCTTCTCTGTTTTGCTGGGGTGGGGGTACTGGAACATTTTTTAAGGATTTGGATCTCCAAACTCTCAAGTTTTAATGGTTTAAGTTTGTGAGCTGCTCTGTTTGTTTATGTAGAAATGGTTTGTATATTAGTTGCATTTGCTAGGGATATCATGTAGCTTCTATTGCTCCCACCTCCACTTATGTGTCATGTTAATTCATTATTATTATTATTATTATTATTATTATTATTATTATTATTATTATTATTATTATTATTATTATTATTATTATTATTTTTGTTAAATAAAAATGCAATAAAAAATAATTCAAGTTTAATTGTGTTTTTCAGTTGAACAGAGGTGCATTTATATCATGTAAATGCAGGTTCTACTTGTACTCACATGCTGCCTTTTTCAAAGTAAACCATAAAGGGACATATTGTTGTGTACACATAATTGTTGAGTTTCTTTTCTATAGCACTTGAAGCATGATGTATTTCGTGGTATACGTCCACCATGGTTGTTTATCACACACTTTTGTTTGATTTAATTCAAATATTTTCCAAGTTAATAGGTGTGTAACTTTCTCATTGAAAAACTTCCATTGACTATTTTGACAGGTGTTGGAGGTTACTCGTACTTGTATGAGCCACTGTGGCGGGTGGGCATGATAACAAGTGAGTTTTGTGTAATTCTTGTTTGTTTAATGATCTATTGATCAATGGAGGATTTCGATGAGAGTTCAATTTCTATTATTTTCTTCATAATGATGCTGTAAAATGGTGTTCGTGATTGGTTTCTTTGTTGTCTTTTGAAATAAGTATGTCTTCATGTGCATGTATGAATTGGTCATTAGCACATAGTTTGGGCATCTAATGAGACATAACAATGCAACTTCATATACTTATTTTTTTAGCTATTTAGTCATTTTTTTTTGGATAAATAACTATTTAGTCATATTTTTGAATAGAAACTAAACGAAACACTATTTATTAACTGATGTGTCATGCAATGATGAAACTTTAGAAACAGAAACAAGACTCAATGCCATATCAGTAAGTAAAAAAAGCTTGCATGATTTGTTAGTTTGTATAGCATTACTCCACTTTACATGGCTAAAGAAACACATTCTATGTGGAATTGCATAACCTCCAGGCTGCTTGTTTTTGTTATGCCTTTTTTTGTTTTTGCCACCATTATTGTTCTGTGATTTGGCTTGAAAAGCACCCTCCACAGATCCTTCTTGCCTCATAAGCCTCCTTTGTTCTTGTGCCTGCAGTGCATTCAACAATTCTGCCAAGGTAATGCTTGACATATCTTTTGAGTTTTCCAGAGATGAAATTGTAGCCTCAAACTTTTCAGGAATTGTGACTAGGATCTTTTGAACAATTCTAGAGTCAGAAAAATCAGTACCAAGGAGTCTTACTTTGTTGACAATGCCATAAAGTTTTTCAGAATATTCCTTGATTGTTTCTGATTCTTTCATCTTTTGCATCTCAAATTCTCGAATCAAATTCAGTACTTGCATCCCTTTGATCCTTGCATTTCCTTCGTATTCTTGCTTCAAAAAATCCCAAATTTCCTTGGCTGTTTTTAGCGTCATTATTCTGGTAAAAATGTTGGATGAAACTGCTGCAAACAAGGTTGCTCTTGCCTTTGATTTTCTTTGCTTCCTCTCCTTCTGATTTTTGATTTGTGCAAGAGTTGGATTGTCTGGCAGAGGTGGAACTTCATATACTTGTTCAGCAGCTTCCCATAGATCATTAGCATCAAGATAGGCTTCCATTCTAACAGCCCACACCTGATAATTTGTTCCGTCAAACACTGGAGGTGCAATTGCAGTGAATGAATTTTCTGAATTCATTTGTGTTTGAACTCTCTCACAGGTCCCTCAAGACTATAGCTCTGATACCAATCTGTTGGTTTTATAGGAAACCAAAAAACTAAGGATAATGAAAGAAGCTAATTTTTGAGACTGCAGAATGTTGAATTTTATTGAGCAACAAGCTGTTTATTTATACAGCATAATGAAAACTGAATTTGCAGAAAAATCTGCTACGTGTTGATCATAACAGCTAAATGCCTGAAAATTAGCATGAGGAAATCTTCATAATCCTAAAGAATAGCAACAACTAAAACTGATTCAGTCAATCCTAAAGAATAGCAAATCAAACTGATTCAGCTTCATGGGTCATGCTAGTCAATAAGATATTTAAGAATAGTTGAGGAGATCAAAGAGTAGATCTACAGGATATGTCAAGGGAGGAGAATATGGCTTTTTTTTATAAATCTCTTCAATATGTTGGCCATTCATGCAATTTTGGTTTGGGGTCATCCTACTGGAGCTCTAGAGCAAAGGAAACTGATGAGGGATTTTAAGTATGTTATTGGTGGGTGCACCTATTCGCTTTCAGCAATTCAAAATGAAGGTGAACTTGCAAAAATCACATTTCTATGATTGAAGATTTGGTTTTGAACTTTATTTTTTGGACAAATTATGAACAAATTATAAAAATAATTTTAATACCATGTTTTATGTTATGGACAAATTAAAATAATAATAATATCATGTTTTTGGCCACTAAATAATTGGTAGCCAAAAAGAAAGTAAATATTTTTAGTGACTAAACTAAATAGTTAGTAGCTAAAAAAGTAATCATAATTTAGCGACTAAAATTTTAGTAGCCAAATGAAAAAATAGACTTTAGGTGACTAAATTTTTAGTAGCTAAAAGAAATTATACTTTAGGCGACTAAAATATTTAGTAGCTAAAAAAATTAAGATGAACAAAAAAAACTTTTTCGCTACTAAATAAATTAGTCGTGGAAAATAATTTTAGTTTTGGCGACTAAATGTTGTAGTCGCTAAAAATGCGATATTAATTTTTTTGAAAGCTTTTGGCGACTAAAAGATTAGTCGCCAATTTAGCCTATCAACGACTAAAATTTTTTTGTCGCCAATACCTTCACTTTTGGCGACTAATTGTTTAGTAGCCAATTTAGCACTTTCGGCGACTAAATGTTTTTTAGTCGCCAATACCTTCCCTGACAATCTTTCTGCGACCAAGCCGGCGACCAAACTATTTAGTCGGGAAAACTTTTTGGCGACTAAAAATATGACTTTTGGCGACTAGAAATTTAGTCGCCAAAAGTGTAATTTTTTGTAGTGGCAGGGGAAAACGACCATATGTACTAGTGAGTGAAAAAAAATTGATGTAATATTTAGCGTTTTTTAGTTGATGACAAATAGCTTAGTACTTTTTTTTAAATTTTTTTTTTTACTATTACCCCAAATGTCCATTATGTGCTTTACGTGCCGTTTGATAACTTGACATTTTGACTAAAGTAGCTGACAAGTATAAAAAAAATAAATTAAAAAAAGTACAAAAAAAGTCAAAAATCTAAATCATAGTTTTCAATACAACTAACAAAAACCATTATCCAAGAAATTAGCCATGTTTCATTTATTTTTTAGAAATTTATTTTGAAATTTTTTTCTAAAATCTTTTTTTTTTACAACTCATAAAAAAAGAAAAAATAAATAAATCAAAAAACACTATAAAGAAAAAAAATCAACTCCCAAACGAGACTTAATAGACATGAAGGATTCATACTTCTAAAATTTAAGATAGATTTTTACATATTGCCTGTGAAACTATTTAACACATAATCTTGTTCTTTATCTAGACTTTAGTTATGAAAAAGATAAAACATTAAGATTAAAGCATGACACAGATTGAGTCTTCTCTCCCAAAAATCTTATTTTCGTTCCCCAAAATCTCAATCTTCCTATACTATCACACGTTGTCATGAACTTTATTAGAGACAAATAAACTAGGCACATGCTTTCTTATTCAAGAATCACTATCCCTCACAATTTGTGTCGCTAGATTTTTCTCCCTAGTCATTTAGCTTGGTTTTTGTGGGGGCTAAATATTGGGAGTCGTAGAGATTCTAGAGAGTCGAACATTGAAGAATCAAGATACGAAACATTCGGCCATTGCCACGGAAAATCGGACCCAACCTTATTCGGCTAGATAGTCGATTGAGCAAGGGGCCGAGTGAAGATCGATTTATTACAAAATATGCCGAATAGGAGGTTGGATTTGAAACTAATCCCGAGGCCCGAAGAAGAAAAGATATAAATAGAAGAGACATCAGCCAGAAAGAGGTATGTGATAATTGTGTTGTTTAACTTTAGAATAGAAGTAATCTAGAATGAGAGACTGACTTGTCCGTCGGAGTGCTAATTCAGGCACCCCCGACCGGAGTGTTTACTTCCTTTCAGGTGCCTATCGGTGGATCACGAGCGTCCCCCAGGATCAGAAGAGTATTTCCAAAAACCACTTCCCCACAATTGGCGCCGTTTGTGGGAATACTCAAGAATATCCATGGTGAACGTGACGGAGGACCCTCTAATAGTCATTTATGAAAACACGCAGGTAGACATTTTCACTCCAACAAACACGAACGGATCGGAGCTTATCCTAGCAAGATGCGTTTTGAACTTCGCCTCACCTTCGACTCCAGAACATGAGGCAATGCAAGCGCTCATGGAGCAGGCAAAGCAAAATGAGCAGAGGTTGGAAAACTTGATCGATGAGAACGAGCGCCTCCGTCAGGATTTGCTTTGGAGGTAGAAAAATCCAAACAAGCTGTGCCCCAAAATCCCGAGCGACCTCTAAAAGCAGGTGATCGACGACTTCGAGCCCGGCTTCAAGACAATGGACGATCTGAAGTTTCCAGTTCCTCCGAAGAAAGTCTGCATATAAAGTGGGCCCCCTCGTTCTACACCAGGCCATCAAAAGCGGTGGCACCTCCTGACACGACAAGAACGGATAGGCGGTGTGAATATCGCGAAAATCACGATCGTGACAGTAGCTATGCCATGAAAGACCTTCAGGAGTTGGTCCGAGATGTTCAGCCCCAGCAACATGCCCAAACGTGCGCAACCTGACCCATTGTACTTCGGCGGGAATCACCTCCGCTTGCAGTCATCCATATGATATACAGCCTGCCAACGCCCTCAGCCGTGCATACAGTTCAAACACACCCTGCATCCCAAAAGCAACTCACGCTGGCGAAACGGCCACATGAAGCTCCGCATGACACTGATCTTATCACCTTCGACGATTCTGATCTTATCGGCATAACAGTCCCCCCATATTGATCCACTGGTCATTGAACTACGTGTCAATTGATTTACTATCGAGCACGTTCTCATAGACCAGGGAAGTACTTCTGGGGTTATGTATTACAAGACCTTCATCAAACTTGGCTTAAATGAATCAGACTTGTCTCTAGCTCCTTATCCATTATTCGGTTTCAACGCAAATCCAGAATATTCGTTCGGGAAAATCATACTACCCGTCCGAGCAGGCTCCCGAACATTGGATGTGGAATTCTTGGTCGTTAGGCTGCCTTCGCCGTACAATCTCATCATGGGGTGAACTTTGTTGCATACTATGCGGGTTGTCCCAAGCACCTATCATTAGCTTCTGTGCTTCCCAACAGAATATGGCATCGAACAGATCCATGGTTCCCAACAATCGGCACAAGCATGCTATCTCCTCTCCGAAAAAATGCCAAAGGATTTGCAAGTTAATTCCATCGAGGTGCCGGATCGTGAAAGCCTCGACGATGTTGGGCGGCTCCCGAATGAGAAAGCCACGGAAGACTTAGACCGAATTGAGATTGACGGCAATCCAGAGAGATTCTTCATGGTCAGCGCCTCCCTGAATCAAGCCGACAGACAGCAGCTAGTATCCTTCATGCTTGATAATCTTGATGTATTTGCATGGACTCCATATGAAATGTCGGGCGTCGACCCAACTGTTTCCGAGCATCGTTTGAATGTTGACCCTAAGTGCAAGCCGATCGTTCAGAAAAGCCGGCGATCTGCCGCAAAGCACACTACCGCCGTGATTGAAGAGGTTAACCGGCTGCTTGATGCAAG